TGTTTAACAAAATGTGGAGGCCCCTCTCGCAGTGGGGGCCGGCTCGACTCGGATGCTTCTGCACCGTGGCCGCAACTGCTCAGCACTCAGTGGGGGTAACACAAGGAGCCCTATAGTGCGGTAATGCAATATTCATGGTGGGGTGTGAGCAGAGCAGTTAAACACAGCAGAGTTGTGAGAAGACCTTGCAGCCCTCTATCAGGGAGCAGCTGCAGCTCGGGCTTGTTCCCCTCTCCAAAGCCGATCCTCATGCTCAAGTATTGTGTCTTTCTTTCTCTGCCCTCCCCTGTTCCCTCTCTGCTGCCTCTCACTCAACCATTAATTTTTAATCACAACTTAAATGGCTGCCTTGGCTGCGGCTGTGGGGGCAGCGAGTCAAGGGCTCTTGCCTCTGGTTACAAAGTAGGAAATAAATTTGAAGAGATCAAGCTAAACATACATGGAGGGTGAGGACTGACTAGGGAGAAATGTAGAAGGAGGAAAGATATCAACTTGCTGCTGCCATTACAGCTTAATTAGAATTTCAACTCTTTCATCTTAGACTTTGCATTGCAACAGCTACAGGAAATTGAGATCAAATTAAGATAGACAATTGGATATTTTTTCCTTTTTTGAAGGATTTTTGGAGGCCATGAGAAAGAATGAGAAGATGAAATGAGCGGATTTAGATAATATAAGACAGATATTTAGATCTGCCAAATAGCAGACACATGCTGATACCAGAGCTTAAAACAATGAATCGATTAACAAAAAATAATAATAAGCAACAACTGCATTACTCCAGCTAGTAAATTACAAATTTGCTTCTTCTCTTTGCAATATGCAATTTTAGACTGTGTGTTTTGGGGTTACGCAGTTTAAGCAAGCTCAAAATATCAATTAGGACGTGAGGAAATTCTAAGTGTTGTTTCATAGACACAACAAATTAGTTAGGTGTGATGATAATCAGAAAATAAATGCTCTCAGAAGCAGCAAAATGCAGAGAGTATAAAAATACCGCTCAAAGCAGGAGTATATAAAGAGCTGAAGCACTTCTCCGTGAAGGACGAGGTTGTATCGATGTTGTCATGAGGTGGCAGCACTCAGGTTTTCCCCTGCATTATTTATTTTCCGTACTGGGGTGGTCTGACCCACTCTTATAATGAGAGCTAGAGTCACGGTCTGTTTGGAGTCCCGGGGCAACGGCGTGCAACCGTGTCCCTGGATCACTGCTCAACCACACAGGCCTCTACACAGCCACTGTTTGCTCAGACTTCACTTGGACTGTAAAAGTCAAGCCTTGTTGACACATCTGTGCCGTCTCTCCCCGAGGCTAATGGCTATTACATCTGTCTGCTTCTTTTTAGAGCGAGAGGAAAACTACAAGAATCAAATGCTTTTTCGAAAACAGGCAAAGTGAAAACAGTGACAGATGATGGAAAGCTGACAGCCGCCTCTGAGGGGAATTACCGCTGCTGATGTTTTCTCGCAAGCGCAGTCAGATGATCACATTAGTTAAGATGTGCTTTGAAAGAAATGTTGATGGCTCTGTAGCAGCAGAGTGTCAGTGTTTACACTAATACCACTGTGCTTTTCACAAGTCTGTCTTTACATTAATAGGTAACGCAATATTTCTCTCAAGGGCGCCTAACATAAACATAACAATATAATAACATCTGGCTACAAAGCGCTGCAGGGAGACCCAGGATATTAACGCTGCTGTAAGACTATTATATAAACATTTAATAACACATACAGTTTACTCTTAAAAAGTACATTCCGTTTTTTATTCATTCATTTATTTGACAATATAAAAACCTCTTAACAAAATGGATTTCATAAGTCTGAAATTCCGTACATAGCAAACCTCCAGAATTTGGCATAAGTCGAAGTCGGATTGCATGTTCTCCCTGCGTCTGGGTGGGTTCTCTTCTGATTCTCCAGCTTCCTCCCACAGTCTAAAAACATGTCTAAAAACATGCCTGTTAGGTTAACTGATGACTTTAAATTGGCTGGAGTTGTGGGCGTGGGTGTGAATGACTGTTTGTCTCTCTGTGTTAGCCCTATCATAGACTGTTGACCTGTCCAGGGTGTACCCCACCTTTTACCCTTGATAGCTGGGATAGGATCCAGCCTCCCTGCAACCTAAACTGGAAAAAGCAATTAAGGAAATGGGTAGATTATATGCTATATGTGCACTTGGGCCTACACTTATACGTGAACTGAAGTGCTTAGATTTTTTTTAATTACACAAAAACGAAGTATCCCTGTAATTCCATTACTTCAGACAGGCACGAGTAACCTAACTAACATCTTAAAGTGAATACGCAATTACAGCTATTTAAATGGAATCATTATTCATGCATAGAGCCTTATTAGGAGTGATTACTGACTCTTGACAACCATCAGCAATACTTCAGAGATCTTTCCTTTCTTCATTTAGCAGATTGACAGTTAATCCCACTACCCAATTCGCTGATAGTGTTACAGCTTTGCTATTCTGACATGAAGGGGAAATAAAACACACAGTCAGCATTTGAACTGCCAGCATAATGGGACCGGCACAGTACAGATCAGTATCAGAGAGCATGCATAATATTCTAGCTAACATCCATGATTTTCTACTGCATGCCAGGAAGTTCCCTGACACACCACATTTGGATGCTATAATATTAATGTAAAAGTAGATCATTAATAAAAAAAGTAGTCTGAAAATATACTTTTATGTGGGGCTTATTTTAAAAAATGGCTCAAGTTATTAAATATATATTGAGTTTCATCACCTCAAAAAGGGAAGTTTAATAAAGTAGAATTTTAAATGTTTTCAGGCTACTTCATTGATGAGATTATGACGTGTTTATACACCACTCTGCAATCATTAGATTATCAGTAGTTATTATTAATCTCTGGCTCTTTTCCAAAGTGGGTCTTTTATCCCGTCTTCAGCCCCTCACCCCCAGCTGGTCGCAGCAGATGGCTGCCCCTCCCTGAGCTGGTTCTACTGGAGGTTCCTTTAAGTGAAAAGGGAGTTTTTCCTTCCTACTGTAGCCAAATGCTTGCTTAAAGGGGAGTGTTGAGTTTTAAATATATATATATTTAAATAATTGAACTAAAACTGATTTCCCTTGACTCTCCCTTTACAGTGACCCCAATCAAACAAGCTTAATTTGACCACATCTTGCACAGCTGAATGTTCACTGTTGATGCTGTTATTGTGAAGCAAGGTCAACATCGGCAAACAGCTGAATACACTCATTAATTCTTCATGATTTATGATACATTACTAACTGGCTAAGATAAGATGGATCAGCTCTAATTTTAGACAGCGTTATTGCAGTTTCTGTTATGTTCAAACTCATTTCTTCAAATGTTTTCTTTGACCGAAATGGCAACATCAAAATGTAAAAACACATAGCTGGGTAGGTAAACACTCACCAACAGCTTATTGGCCATGTCTAGTTTAACATCCTCACCTCGATCAGCTATTCGAACTGTGCAAATAATCCACCCATTGATCTTCAGTTCCTTAACTGACAAATAAACAAAATCAGGGCCGCAGCCCAACTGCAGTCTTGCTAACTAGCAGACCGCTCGTAATTACTTCAACACAAACACAGAGCCAAATGTGCGTGCACACACCTGCTCATGCACACACACACACACACACACACACACACACACACACACACACACACCCACACACACACACACACCACACACACACACACACACACACACACAGGAGTAATCGCTCACTAATCAAGGACATTGATTACATCGCAAAACACATCTATCTGCACTCTACCCCCCATCCCCCGCCGTGCTGACACCGATTGAAATGTGGGAATGAAAACACAAAACTGAGGGCACACAACATAAAGGTGGAGCTTAAATGGAGAAGAAGGCCAGATGTTTTAAACCGGTCTTTTGAATTATACTATTCACAATAGGGCTGCCACGATTTGTCGACTAGTCACGATTACGTCGACTATCAAAATCGTCGACGACTGATTTAATAGTCGACGCGTCGTTTGAAGCTTTGTAAGATCGCAAAAGACGCAGGAATAAGTAGCAGGATTTAAGAGTGTAATAACGGACTGAAACAGAAGATGGCAGCACTGCATGTACAAGGATGCCAGCTGCCGTTAAACCCCGAAGAAGAAGAAGCAGCTGTGTCCCAGAATTCATAGCGCGGCCCAGCTTAGTTTCCAACAATGGCGGCAGCTAGTTAGTTTTAATATTACTCTTATTATTCTTTCTGGGTCACAAAATAAACGTTTAACATATTTTCAGGCGAGAATGTAGCTGTGTAAACCTCAAATATCGGCTCAGTTTATCAGGACACCACATATTTTCAAAAGCGCTCCGACGTTTTCGGAGACGTCTGTTACCCACTAGCTCGATAGCTAGCCGGGGGCTAGGTCACTAGCGCCGTGAGAACACCGGACTCCCGGCAAATTGTTTTCAAACCCACCGCCGTCTTTCGCGACTCAGGTTAAATATATATGAGTCACTTAGATAAATTAAAAATGTTGTTGTTTGGCTTTTTTTTTTTTTTTAGTATTTTATTTGTTCCTGAGTAAATCGGTTTGGCTGAGATTAAAGTTATAGTTTTTACACAGCTGAATAAACGTAAAGCAGAGCAGCTAGATCAGCTGATCAGATAGTCAGATAGTGAGATGAGCATGGAGAACTGGAGTACATCCGAGTACGTCCGTGTGTCACTGATTATATTAGATTAGATACGCAAGGAGTTTATTAAACTTCACCGAAACAATCTGCAAATTTCATTAAAATTGAATAAACTATCATCTTGTCTTTATTTTTAGTTAGCACCTTAAAAGCTTAAAGCTGTAAGCTAATGATAGTTATATAAGAGCAGATGCTGCTGGTGCAATAAGCTGTAGTTTTACGTCCAGTGGATGATGATCTGATTAGTCGACTAATCGCATAAATAATCGGTGACTAGTCGACTATCAAAATAATCGTTTGTGGCAGCCCTAATTCACAATAAGTAGAGTGTTATATATTTACAATGCAGCTAGAAAAAGGTGCTATTAATGTATAGTGTGTTCACCAAGTAATATAAATGCTGCACACGAATGGAGACACAGAAGAAAGTGTGTTGAGTTTGCTGCTTTGTTAAGTCGATGAGTAGCCGCGTGCTTGAAACCCTGGATCTGGGTAGACTGTGCATAAATAATTAGCTGTGTTCTCTGTAAGCCGCAGGTAAGATTGAAACCAACTGTGTGATGAGCCAAGCAGCCATGTGAAAAAAAAAATTGTTTTTTTTCCCCTCTCGCCTGGAAAAAAGTGAAGACTATTTGTAGCATTAAAATAATTTGGTTACAAAACCTCTAATTTGGAATTGAGTGTAAGGTACAAGTATTACTCTCCCGCCTGCCACGTACCTGATGAGAAAACTAATTTTTTTAAGTGTCACCCTCTCAGATACCATCAGAACTTGATCCAGAGATAATCTATAACTACTCGATGCATCTCGATGAAGGACACAGTGCAGTATATTCAAATGCCTTTATCACACAGACAAGAATACAAGCTGTTCAAACCAGTGCCACATATGGTGTGTTCACACATTCACTGTAAAGATTAAAATAACATAGCAATATGAATTAAAAAAAAAAACAGCCATATGAATTGTACAGAAAGGATGCTGCACACACAGCAACGTGACACTGAAGACAGCAGTAGCACGTCAAATGCTGACTGATATGTATTTTGTAACGGCGTCTGATAAAGGCAACAATGCTTGTTAAGATAAGAAAAGACAAATCTCTTGTTACAACAAAGAGCAATTTCTTTACACTGCCTTTTCACCCTTTAGTAAAATATAAAGCCAGAAGGTTTCATTACGAAGGGCAGCTGATAAAACCTCTGAGCTCAACTGCAATCAAATGCTACAAAGCTCCGAGGCAAAGCATGTCCTGCCGGGGCTACACAATATTTAAAAATGTTTTTTTTAAAAATACGCTCTTAGTTAATTTTCCAAACCAAGATCTGGCTTCTACTTCAAAGCATCTTTTCCCTTACTCAACTCAGTGAAGGGAAACAAACATAGCAAAAAAATATTCAACATATCGTGTCTCAAAATGCAAAGACATCCTTTCAATATCCTGTCAGCACCAAGACGAATCGCTCGCTCTTTTCACTGGGGCTGGGCAATTAATCAAATAACTCCATTAATCAACATTATGACTTTCTAACCGACCTAATTTTACTCATGTCGATATATTCAATAAATTAAATCTTTCACGCAGGCAGTCAGCCAATCTGCAACTACTGTAGCTGCCTTATCGTGCCCAGTTAGTGTATGCTCATAACCTTTGTTAACTGGGGTGTAAAACAAATCTATTTAGGATACTAAGCCAAAATGTAAATAAATAAATACTTAGTTGGGCTCAAAGTCAATTTTGTTTTCTTATTGCACTGTAAAAATGTAAAAATGTAAAAATATACACATTAAAACCCATTTTGTAGTGAATTATGTAACGGTTACATCACTGTAATATGGATTTTAGGTAAAATCTCCCATCACTATCACTGTAGTCTGTTAGGCTTTTGTAATATCATAATGTGCATAACAAGCATAACAATCAATCCCTGAAAGCTCATGACGTTAAGAGGTGGCAAAAGATGCTCACCAAACTCAGTGCAGACCTACATGTCAAACATACGTGGAGGTCAGGTGAGTTTAGACGAGCAAAGAAAAAACGCGTAATCCTTTCCCAACGCAGGTAAAAAAAGAAGGCCATGCTTCATTCTTCATACTGACTTGGATGCCAGCTAATACATTCCTCTGTGTGTAAAGTCTTGACTAAGTATAGTCTGGAAATGACTGATCGCAGAGCTTTCTGCCAGTGTTCATTTACTGAAACATCCCAATTTTAAAACAATGCAAAAACACATTGTTATTCATTCAGTTATTTACAGTTCCTAATTTAGCATGCAGGAGTGTTGTTACTGAATCTGTAAGGACAAGCAGATCTAGCATGGCAAAGTTTATTGCTTGGGGCTCTCTCTGGCTCCCATGTCTGTGTGCTCTGGTCTCTACTCAGCAGCTCAGCTCCCTCCTCTCTCTTCTCCTCTACTCTCCCCATTAACCGGCTGACAGATCAGTAATAAACACAGCCTGTCACCTTCAAGGCCTGCCTCTCATTTACTAGAGAACACATGAAACCCCACTTGCTCATTCCCTCTCTATCTCCCTCTCTCTCTTTTTTTTCCCTTCATCTGCTGGGCTCATTGGAGCTGAAACCCGATTTTTGGCCCCTGCAGCCTCCGAGGCAGCAAATTCTCTTCTGCACCCAGATAGTCCTGAGAAAGGCATGAATATTAAATGGAAAATCCATGAATAAATAACCAAAAAAGGACTTCCGTTGCTCTAACCTCTTTCTGTCTCCCAGCAGTGGATGACAGAAGAAGAAGAACAGCACAAGGGAGAAACAGAGGACAGAAAAAAGAGAAAATCACGACTATCTCAAGAGAAAAGATGGACATTTGTTAGGTAATTTGCAATCACATGGTGCAGTGATTTCACACTTAAAACAAAAACGGTAATCACAAGGTAACAGTGTAGCTGATGGTTAGTTGAACAAAATTAAGATGCAGTATTTTCTCAGGGTATATGTTGTGTGATTTCCATACTGAGTGATTATGGGCTATACATATTGCAAGAGCTCAATAATGTATGCACACAGAAAATTATAATCACACTGAAAGAAGAGCAGGAAGTGAGATGTTGAATGTTTAGCAAATAAATAATGAGAAATGTGTATTTTTGATGTGTAGTCCCCGGGCTTGTGGCTGTTACACAGAACATGTAAATATGGATTTCTTTGCTTTAAGCAATTCCCTCAAGAGTACTTAATAGGTTCTGCATTTTTTACAGAGCAACCTGGAGACAAATCATATGATAAACATGCAATGGAGCTACTACACAACAAAGTACTGTCTGTGTGTTACTGGGATATTATGCGTTTCTGTGGGATAGTGTTACATACACTGTTAATCGAAGTACCACCTCTAATACAATTCACTTAACTGAATATCAGAAGTAAAATAGTAGTTAAACTTATAATCTCAGCAACAACACTGGTGCAGCTGAGCTGTATTAACTTACTACGAATGGAAACTCCTCTGCATAAAAAACCCAACTGATTACAGGCAGAGTAAACTGAGAAGCCTCAACTGTGTTGTGTTTTCTTCTAAAATAAAAGGCAACACAGGAGAGAAAAGGAATAAACAATAACCTGTGTTTTTGTCAGAGGTAAACTGATGGACTAATCATTATCCGAGCAGTGTTTTACTGTTTGCTAACAGCACGTGTGTTCAAGTAATTTAATTTTCCCCGCTGACAAAGAAATACCAAGTTAGACCTTTCCAAGAGTGATTAATGTAAGCTTATCTGAAACCACGAGTTACTCGAGACATCCAATAGGATCTAGTGCTACATCCAATCTAGGGAAACCGGTGGCTGGACATTGTGCTGCAAGCACAATTCTTCAGACAGGAAATAGCCTTACAAGCTCACTGCCTTTGAAAGGATTGCTTAAAAAAATAGTTTGCAATAATAATGCAAATACCAGGTCAGCTTGTCTGCAAACAGACAGTTTATGGACAAGTTGCACTGATTACAGCGTGTTAGCAATCTGTCTGGTGATCAGATGCAACTATTTGTCAATTAATTGGAAAGAATTCAGTGCGATCACTGGAAGACCACTGATTTTTCCTTATGAGAAGGTTGTTTCTCATAAGGAAAGGCAAAGCCATAACTAACAGTGGTATTATAATTATTAATAACATCTCTCAAGAGTGCATGTTTTCATCAGCATTCAACAATTTAAGTTAACATCTTTATCATAGTTTCTATCAATGGTCCACTGGAGAGAAAAATATTACTAAATACTTTGGCGAAATTGCTTTATTGTATAATGTCAGCATAAAAGTAATGCTGTGATATTATGCTGTCCAACTATTTAGAGGGCTTTTAAAAAAGATGAAAGAAAATGTTGGCGGCACTTCAGGCTTAAAGAAGAACTACACTGTCAACCTTGAGGTCCTCGGGGGGAAAAAAAGACTCCAGTTTCCAGCGATTTTCAGATTATATATGTCAATGAATTACACTACTTGAGATTCCATCGTGACCTGGTGTCGAAGCTGAATTTCTCATCTTGGCAATTATACCCTTGACTTCCTTTCTTGTCGTGAGAAACCTGAACAAAAGAGAGCTCTATTGTATCTGCTGGAGAGCCATCAGTGTGACTAATCTGTGCAGCAGAAGATAAGCTTTGTTCACAAAGTACTCAGTGGAGTCATATGTTCACAAGTTACTCTATGTTCAGTGGAAAGTGAATGAAGAGCTCTTTAAAAGCTGTTAAAGGACTTTATATTTACATCTCTAATAAGGAACAATTGCATTTTGGTTCTGTACTGTCCAAAACACTGCATGTGGTTACAGAGATTCATTTGCATATGTAGCTTATGTGTAAATGAATTATTTCCATCATACAATACTAAGCAAAAGACTGGAACCTTCCCTCAATTCATATATTTTGCTAGAAAAAGGGAAACATGTGGGACATAACACAAAAACAAAGTTTATACAGTTCCAGCAAGCTTAAAAGTTAATATTTGAGTATTTAAGTTTAAGTAGTCTTCAGGAATAGTTCTCCAGGCTTCTTGTAGGACATTAAAAGCTCTTCTTTGTACGGCTGCCTTTTGTTCTGCCCTCTGTCAAGAAGATCCGATACCGCTTCAACGGTGCTCTGGGGAGGCCAATCCAGGACTGAGAGAAAAACAAAGAGTGGGACACTATCAGGTATATTTTTACTGCATTGGCAGTTTGTTTGGGAACCAATGCCATCTTTTCAGATGGTATTTTATGGTGGATCATCTGTGTTCATAATTTCTGATGAGGCTTCAATAGATGGATCAACTCCAGAGCCAGATGCATGTCTCAGGTCCCGTATCAGGTCTTTGCTGGATTGTTCCATAATTTTTAAGGACATGACTTTTAGATATTGTTCATATGCTGTTAATAGTTTTTAAGTCCAGTTCGTCCGATTGTTTAAAGGACACCCTGCTGAGACATGTCAAGTGTTCATCCTGTTAGACTAAAAATACCATTTTAAGCCTGTCAAACTGTTTTGTTTTTTTTCATTGACTCAACAAAAGAAATGGGAACAAATTATGTGTTTTTGCATCAGTGCCTAAAGACAGAAATTAAAATTGGTTTGTTGTTAGTTGCCTGTTATTTGCAGACACAACAGTGAATCGTACTTTAGTTAGATGCCTATTTCAAGTTTGAATGATTCATAGGTCAGTGTTAAGTGGAAAAACAAAAAATGACTGACTGAAAATGAAGTGAAAGAGCAGCCAATGTCCAAAGAATAACTGAAACACCTTCAGAAAGCCTTGAGAGCTACTGCTCAAGACCAATGCAATATAAATACTATATATTTTGCTTCTTTAAACCAAAGTACAAAGGAATGAGGGGTGGCTAAATACTTTTGCACAGTACTGTATAGTATGCTCAATAAAAGTCCAAGAATCCCAGTAGAACAAATACACACTGTAGCACAATCAGCCAGCAGTTCTTTGAAGCAAGCAAATTAATGCAAGATGGAAACACAAGGCATTCGCTGCCTGGAGCTAATGAATGATTCTGTACACTGATCCTCAACTGTTGCACTTCTAAATCATTGCTCAAGTCAGATGACTATAGGAATGCTTGTACATTTTTTTCTCTTATTTGAGAACTCTTAGACAAAGGCTTAAAGCCATGTGATTCACTCATGGAGCGTTACACTGGGAATGTACTCCTGCTTGAAAGCAACTGAATTTTACATTTTTGGATGCATCATAATAGGAAGGTCAACCCTGTATCTCATTACTTTGTTCTGCAAAAACTCAAGTAGCAGCTTCAGGCAGTCCAGTCAATATATCTGACAATATAAGATGTGATGGAGAGTTTAAGATAATAAAGGGCACAAACTACCTGTGCATGAAAGCAGGCAGACTAATAGTTCAGATCTCCAGCAGGCTACAGCACCTACGATTCTTAAATCAGTCTTGTTTGGTGGCTATTTGTGATGAATCCAACTGACTTGAGGTTCAGTTGCAGGACCACAGATTTCCTGCATGGATCCTTGAGTGCTACGAGATAATAAACTGTTCAGTGGTATTTGTTCTATTTCTTTTTATAATGCTGAAATACAGCCAGCTGTTATGACCCAGTGAACATTATGATTGCTTTTCACATCCTTTACTTTGTTTACGTCTGGGTTATTTTATGTAAGTGTTTAAGACAAGCCCCTGTCAGTTAATATTAGATTTATCAAGCATTGTATGGTTAAATGTCTTAAGTAGAGCGGCATATGGTCTGTGTTTTACTTTTCCAGCGCTGTGTACGTAGCCACTTCAGAGTATGTCAGGCTTAGAAAAACATAGGGGAGAGAAGGTTATCTACATGAGGTATAGGAGAAGGAAATCTGGATTCATGTCACAGAGTCAAATAGCTTTCAAAACCCAAACTGACCTTCAGCTCACAAAGACGCACACATACAGATACAAATGTACACAGGATGTGACCATAAACCTTAATGCACATCCCTTATTACATGAGTGAGTCTCGACTGTACATCATTTTAAATGTCACAGACTCCTCCGCAGGGTAATGACTAATCAACTGAGTTTGCATCTCGTATTGCCATCACATACCAAGTAATGCAACTGGCTGCAGAAAAGGGCAGAATTCGATTCGATCTCAATTTCTGATTTGGGTATCGGCAATATCGTTCCTGTGTACAGTATTTGGATATGCTAGGTTTGCCCTAGTTTTTGCCATGTGGCCTGCAGATATGACAAATATCAGCATTTTAATCACATGAAATGTAGGCAAGAGCACAAAAATGATGAAGAACTAAATGACCACTGCCTGGTGAAAAAATCCTGTACGGCAATAAGATGATAATATTTAATTGTTTTAGCTGTCTTAATAGGATGGGATCACTACTGTTTCCATGAAAGGGACTATAGATGTTGCACATATATTTCAACATAAACCCTAACAGAGCCTGGCAGAAAATTTCAGCAGTTAATTCCTAAAAAAATGGGAATCTTTAGAAAGAAAAGCAGCCTTTGCAAGCTGGCTGACATTCATTCAAACTATATTTCCACAGTACTGATAGCAGAGTCCATCCATCAGTTTCAACAATTCATTTTTATATACAGAATGACACATTGCAGCACATTATAGTTTATTAGAAATAATTTTTAACCATTATGTAAGACAGCAGCAGCACTGCTGTTTGAAAAGCTGTTCATCCCTTTTCTTGCTCATTGTGATGAGGTGTGACATAGCCGGCAATAACAGTGACAAGCAGATCTTGTCAGCGTAAACTGCATGAGGAGCAAAAAAATAAAAATACTAGTGCTAAACCCCGCCGACTAAGATGAGCGGCAATGACCTGACCCGTGAGATGTGGTGGGAATTGAGGTAGAAGAAGGGGCGAGAGAGCAAGAGCACGGCAGAGTGAAAAGCTAGCTGGTGACAGAAGGATAACACAAGTGGGACTGTGTAGGTCAAGATAACCAATTTAAAATACTGAGCTAACATGCACAGCTGGGAGCATCTTGTTACACTGAGTATAACATGAGCCAGTAATGTGTGGCTTTAATACTCTGTGTTGCAAACAAGGAGAAAATGTAATTAGGAGAGAGGTAAAGTGATCTTGTAAACGATGAAATAACTTTTGTGTACTTACATTTTGTTATTTGACATTATTTGATACTGCCTGATGTTTGTGCCCATTTTAGGTTATATTAATGTAAATAACTTATTGGGTCTTTGAAAATGATTTGAGATAAGGCAGATCAAGTGTGCTAATGTTCCTGGACTAAACAGTCATCAAACATCTGTGACTGTTTAGATAGTCTAGATATGGCAAATTAGGCATTGGCTGGAACAAAGCAGGAAGGGACCTTGACGACAGACTATTACACTGTCAAATATCTCAGCAGGTAAAGACATGACAACATAAAATTAACCTAATAGACATTTCTTTATGGGTAACAGAATCGTAACGTCTTAAAACAGAGCACAGGTTAAGGGCTTGCTAAAGTGTGTGTCTTCTGTAAGAAGCAGGATGTGGTGATGGATTATTATTCAGACCTGCGACGTTCAGTGTTTGACACACACATCCAGTGACGGATGTTAAGGACGGAACAAATAAAATGGAAAAGACGCAGGCTGCTTTTTCTCTGAATAAAGCACAGCTTGGAGCAAAAGTTGCTTGAGTCAAATACTGTTAACAGCATGCAAAAAGGCCATTAAAGGAAACTGGGGCAAGAAAAAGACCTCAACAAGTTGCTGGCAGCTGCTGAAGACATCTTTCTAATGGAAAACAGTCACATTTGTGTTGAGCAGCAGAGGGAAATTCAAGGTAGTAAGATGGGATGAAGCTGAGAACAAACCTCGGCAGAATAAAACCAGAAAAAAAACCTGCAGCATGACCCAAAGAGTCAATCAAGACGTCCCAAAAATATCGATGAACTAAAAGATTTTTAGGACAAATATTCCTCCTCACTTTTGTGCAGGAAATATCTACATTATACAAATCTCTAAATCCAAGTCCTGACATGCTTTGGCCATTTTGTCATGACTGTCTTCTGAGTTTGGTTTCGTATCTTCTTGGACAAAGCTCAGGTTATATTTTATTAGCAATTTCAGACTGTTCACAAATGTGTGCATGCAGCTGTAGCAGGAAAAAAACTTGGCTCCAGGTACCGTTAAAATTAAGAAAATGAAATCTATTAGTGGTTATAATTTCCAGCAGGGAACTTTAACAAAGCCATATTTATTTATTCACCAATAAAAAGAAAACTGCTGATTCATAAACAACAACCTACAGTCAGTTTAAATAATGCAGAACCAGATTTTCCAATCTGCGTCTACATCAGCAAGCCTATAACAACGTGTCAGCACATTTCGACCTTTTATTCAAGAGCATCAGTTTAGGTTCACTGAAATGTGAAAATTTAAATAAAAGAACAGGCGTACACGAGCCTTTTTCCACTTCACGTGGCAGGAAAGTGCGGAATTGTGAAAGACAAACAAAACAACCCCCAAAAAAGAGCTTTAAAAGTACTCGGTACAAAAAGTAGACTTTTAAAACCCTCCAGACCAGTAATAATTTCTTTAAGACCTGCTGACATCCTACTTAACAAGAATTTCATTTAATCCTTTGATGTTCAGGTCTGAGCTACACCTCCAAAGCCATTTTTAACTGCTCATTATGTTCACAAAAACCGAGACAAGGCGATCATATCCAGTTTTGTAGGGAAAAAGGGGGGGGGGGGGGGGGGGGTGTCATGGCTCCTGCTACATTTTACCTCAAGAATCTCAAAAAGAATTCTCCGTCGATATCAAACGATCTGAGAGAGGCACAGCTGCATAAACAATCCTCTCAAGTCTTTAGAGGGTTTAGAAATATTAACAAAGGAGCTTGCAGGTACATCATTTTTGCAGTAGCAGCTATGGCAGCAGAGGGAAAATGTGTTTGAGCTCTCTTATAAATCACACAATACAGCAACAACATTGCACATCCAGACCTAGTTAGTCCCCCAGGCAACCTGACAGCAAAATCCTGTCTTTACAGATGGCTCTCAGAGAGAAACTGCGTGTGTGTGTGTGAGAGCTTTGTGTCCATGTGTGTAATTTTGTTTTTATTAATGACAATATAGTAGTTGTGAATTGTGTAGCATTATCACTTTCACCTGTCTTTTTTATGAATAGGTGTAAACATACATACTAAAGATGATTTTTTTTTTTAAAAAGGAGAAGAAAAAAAAAAGAAAGAAAGCAATTCTTAGTTAGCTCAGGCTAATTTCATCCACTCCACTTCCCCGGACATGAAAGAAGCAGGACTTACAGATCTTGTGCTTCCCTTTCATGGGGAATTTCACGAGCAACTCCTGGGGGTTGGTGCAGATGAAGACAAATGGAGAAGCAGACTCCTCACAGGTATCAGGGAACTGCAGGGATGGTGGGGGGAGGGATAATGAAAAGAACAGTTTAGCATCGTCTTACACAGGACTAGCATGTCAATACTGTGCACAGAAAATATGTTGGCGCTCATGACAGCGTTACAGTTATGAATCATTCAGCGAGTCCCTGTTTATACGCCTACGTCGTGCAAACTGTCCTCCGTGCCTGATGTAATACTACGGGCCTGACAGCAACTGATAGTTATGAGTCTCGCTGGGTCTTATGCACTATAATTGCACAACTAATGATGCAGTCGCTAATGAGAGCAGCTGCAGCAATTGTGAGCAGTAAAGACGACGCAAAATATGACAACCGGTAAGAAATTCCTTTTTCAGACGCAGTGTTGTGTGCACATACTATTCAACAGAAAATAATGAATATGAATTTAAAAAAGAAAGAAAGAAAGGAACATGTATACAATGTTTGTGTTCATTTATTAATAAGGAGAACAGGGAATAATTCGAATTTCAAAATCAAACACATTCTTCCACATCTACAGAAATGCATCGAATTTAAAACACACCCATAACATATTTATCTGTCTCACATTCCTGTGTAAGAGTGGGCGTTTTACAGCCTATAAGTGACAGCAGCCCACAGCATACAGAGGCCAAGAGACAAGAGAAAACCTCTCTCTCTCCCTCTGTTATTGATTAGTCTCTCAGGTGAGAGTAGGGAATTGACTGACACAGTGACAAAGGAGTCATCTTTCCCATCACAGGCAGCCAACAGTTCTCAGCTCATCCAATTTCCTCCAGCACTATCAGATAGTGCCCATGATTGCATCTAGCCAGCCAGGAAGCAGCTCTTTTCATGACAGCATGCTTTTTCCTCTCCCCCCCCCTCTCTTATTCACAGCCTCTCTATCTCCCTCAAAGGAGCACTGAAGGTTGTGACAAATTTGGGGCTTTTAAAGGAAATCAACAGAGTCTGCAACCTATCTGTAAGGTCCCTGCAAACTGGGGACAGATGATAGAGATACTTATTTCTGATTAAACCCCATGTCGACTTGAATCTCACTCACGGCTGAGTGATAAAATATGTAAACACTCCTGAAAGAGCCCCTTGATTGCTCCCTTCCTATGGCAAATGACACAGTGATTCCAATTAAATTAGATTCCCCCGTTGGAAAATTCTCCTGACTGTCCTTGAACAAAATTATCTGTAATTTTGCAGGGTTTAAACAAGGCGGAGGGAACGAGGGGACGAGGTTGGAGATGCATCAAAACCAACAATGGAAATTGTTGGTAGCTTATTCCTGTGTGCCAAAGACGTTCCTTCACTACCAGAAGCACAGGTGTTGGAGCTCATTTCTTTGTTTTTGTTTATGGGATGGCTTAGGCACATTCAGAACGTCTTGGTCTTGTGGTGTGAACTAGTAAACTTAAATGTGAAGCATACAGAAAAATAAAACAAAACCAAATGATAATAAATTATATTAATAAATAATAATGAGCAATTTTCATAAAAAAAAAAAAATCTCTATATATAAAATACCTATGGTTCCTTAATATGGAATATTAAATAGTGGATATAGGATGGTTGTAAATCATCATTCTTAGGGAAAGTGAAATACATCACTAATGTGTAATTTGGCTACTGGACCAGGACTGTTTTCCAAACTCTATCTTTCTACTTTAGAAGATTTAGAAAACAGTCCTCCAATTAGAGTCTGCCCATACATCACTTTGCACACAACCACAAATAGTTATATAACAAATTAAAAGAGCAAAAACTTCAAACGCTGCACAGTTGGACTTCATCCTATCCTTCGATACAGTTCTGAAGTTAGGCGTTCCCTACGCTCATGCAACAACCTTACTAAGTGGGGTTTAAAAGATGGACGTAGCTACAGTGATGTCACTCCTGGGTTTCTGAAATTGTGTTCTTAGGCCTTGAGATAAGCGCTTCAGCCATCGCCATCTTGGTGATCAAAAAACTGAATATGATGAGGAGAGGAGGGTCTGACTGTGAACAAATAATCAATGAAAATTTGTAGGTGGGCCCACACACTTTTAAAATTAATTTTTTTACTGTCTATGACGGGATCAAAGTACGTAAGCAACATTTCCCTACCAGTAGTGGTTAACACACTCACCTAACACATGGAAGATCCCTGTTTTGAGACTGGGAAGAGACACTGTTATATCAGGAAGTAAGCAGCAGCCAGTTAAATCCTGCCAAACTATTTTCCTGTAATGGTTCCATTGAGGAGACCAATTACAATTAAAGCTTTATGGTTGAATCGTCCATGTGAAAACAAAAGGCACCAAAAATCAGTATTGTCAGTTTTTTGGGTTTTCATATTCCTTTTGTTGTTTAGTTTTAGCTATAGTGTTATTGAATGTACGAAACTATTTGGACATGAAACTTTTAACTTCATAATTTTGTTCCCTTTGACATTTGTGAACATCAGAAAACAAATCACTCTAACTAGCTCCTCCAAGTCCAATATTTAAGCCAATTTTAAAAAATTCAAGAAATGATTCTTAAACACATTAAAACCCTTGAAACATAAGAAGAGCCTTTTACACACCCTTCCCTCACTTTACACTTTCATACTTGCAAAATCCATTAAGTCTAGGCGACAGAGCTGCCTGGGTAGAGTGCAGGAGGCAGAACACAGGACAACCACTCACTAGCTGCAAACACAACAGACTTTAGCCTAGAGGCACGCTCTCATCTGTGCACATCAGTTACACGGACTACGAACTTGGCAGGTTAAAGGCCGTTTAATGTCTGACGGAGCTACATTAAACATTTGTGTTCATCAGGTTATTTCTGCAAGACTTTCACGGCTGCACTGCATGTGTGAAAATGGCTTAATACAGCAGCTTTTTACCAACAATACAAAGTTCCTTGAGATCACTTTTGTGAAATGCTGCTACAAAGACAAAAATAAAACTGTATAGAAGAAAGAGAGTGCATTCATCATGCTTGCAGTGGTCATTATCACATTAATAGGAAAACAAGCTCCAAAATCCTTCAATAATGGAGCCTGTGAAAGGTAGTCTTCCTCGCTATTCTAACATTGTTAACACACCACTTTCTCACACAGCAGATGCAAAGTACTGTGCAGGCATGCTGCTCTTTTTTGTCTGAGTAAGACTACAAGGAGCAATAATCTAAAAAAAAATTACTTTAACAGCATGATGAACAATGTGACTTGGGCCACAAGTGAAAAGAGTTTATCTCTGTGTATAAGTGGGCTGCCTGCAGCATAAGAAGCACATAAAAGAAAAACTATACTTGACTTCAACGCCTGTGAGAATATTCTGTGATCTTCGAATAATTACATAAGACGTGGCAGATAAAAGAAGAATATATCACAACTAAGAAGTGAGAGATAAAAATTGGGAATAAGAGAAGATTCAAAAGGAAGAAAGAAGCACAGAGGCATTTAAGATCATTACGGAAAAAAAAAAAAAAAGAGAAATCTCTCGTTACACAAGATGGCTGTATTGTCAGTTGTACTCAAGGAAACAAAATGGTGGTGGTCTGAATTCAGATGAAACGAGCCTAGCTGCAGCCAGTGCTCGAGTGTGCTCATGTGAGACCCTGCCAGTTGCCTGCTCTTTCATCCTCCATTAGCTAATTAGCATTTAAAGCTGTTGAATGTGCTGCTTTGCCTCACTACCTCCCCCACTTAATTGTTTCCATTCCACGTTAATCAAAAGGGCACGAAACGTTGTGGTTGTGTGACAAGAAGGTTTTCTAAAGCCCTCCATATTCATCAGGAAGGATCTAATGTAGTCTGAGTGGACCTGCTTACAAATACAATTAAAGTTAAACACAGGTATTGAATTAGGAAACTGTTAAGTGAATTTACACGAAAACACCGTGGGTGACTGTCACGTGACCTCGCAGTGGCACACTCGTTCGTTAGTGAGTCAGTTTGTTAGTATGGTAGGTCATGCTTACAGCCCTTGGGCATTCTGGGTAGACTGCCTAATGTGTTCGACATGGGGAGAGATCTGAGGGCCTGTGTGTACAGCTGCATTCAAATGCCTCAGCTTGAATTGTGTATCACTAGTTGATCTCTAATTTACTTGGCTTACTCAATCGTGAGACAAAACGCTTCCGCTCTGTCACAAACGTCGCACGGAGTGCACGTCCGCTGCATGGCTGCGTTCCACGCTGCTTTGAAAAGGTGGATGCAAACACACCTTGACCTTGTCGGCGTGACAACTGATGATAATTCTTGCCAGTGTTTCAACAAAAGTGCAGCTCCACTGTCCTAGCTGTGGATCAGACTGAGTGTGCATAACTCAATCATCTGGTTAGCACTCTTAGAGCAACAGCTTGACATTTTGGGAAATGTACTTATTATTTTTTCCCCCCTCAGAGACAAGAATGATGTCACTCTCACATCTTCACAGTTCATTTGAAGCTACTAACTGCAGCCATTTTGCTTTGCTTAATGTGTTCAACATGGAAGAAAGTTTTCTGGTGTGATGTTAATAACCCAGAAGGTTCTGGACTCCACATTTTGTATCCTTAACTGATGCCATGTTTGGTTTTTCTTTTTTTGGAGACACAAATGATAATATCTGGATGACAGGTTGTTAAGATATCAGCAAGGTTAGCAAGCTTTGATAGCCACCTGCATTCATAAACTATATGGTGTTACCCACACACAGATATTGGCACTGCTAAGTCACAGAATTATGAAATACTAGAATTGTACCCACCAAAATTAAAGCACAAGCTTCTTTAGCAGGTGGTACAACACAGCAAGTAATTCCTAAATCCTTCTATATACATCTTCGCCCAATAGTTTGCAGGCAAAAGCATGAGTTACATAGACCTAGAGACCAGTTGATGACAGCTGGCAACCTCTGGTTAGGAATGCATATTTTACCCTAGCGAACTAGTTGGTAGTGGTTGCTGAGAAAAACTGGTAGTGCACAGAATACTTTCTTGCGAGCGTTGTGGTTAGTAGTTGACAGCACACAATGTTGTCTGTAAACACTAAGCAATGTTTGTA